CTACTCTGTTCACCCAATTCTATATATATTTTTCAAAACACCTCTTAAAAAGACCTTTTAGTCACGTGTTTGTTCTCAGTGTAACAGCAAATATCGGCGATCTCTCGCAAAATGCGAACTATGTGAAAAAAAGCACGATGTAACCGCAATAGATTCGAGAAAATCGAAGCGTAAACGGATCAGAAAAAGCCCGAAGAATGCGGCAGGGTTAATCGAACATCCCCTATTTATTTAATGAAAATTGGGAATAGCTGGCTCGGTACTTTTACTTCGTGTGGTAAACCTTTTTCTATTTAAATGAAGAACTCTATTTGGATAGGGAATTCCCTAATCTCGACCGTTCGCAATAAGAGTTTGCTGCCTGGAGTGTTAACACACCGTTAAGTTCTCCGGCACAATCCTGAAGCACGCTGCATCCCCCATTCGTGGCCTGGGCTGCGTTCGATATCGAAAGGATAGCGGATATACCTGACCTAAGCTAAGTTTTAACTCGGGTCAAAGCAAATAAGCTTTCGCAGATTGGAAGCAACCGGTTACGTCATAATGAAAGAGCACAACGCTATGGCATGGAGCCGCGAGAGTTAGGTAACGCGACTTCGGTGAAGCTACGATTAGGAAAAATGTTCATGCTCGGAAATGATATTATTTTGCTTATTATTTATTTGTAGACGCGATGTTCAAACTAGATTTACGAATTTTGTAATTTATCATTATTCAGATTGTAAAGATACATTTATGAGTTATTTATTCACTACGCGCGTTACTTGTGGCAAATGTTACAATAACACTCGTTCATAATCAGAATAAATGTCTTATTGTTACTTTTATAAACAAATGCATTATAAACATTAACATTGAGATCGTTGATGACCATGTTGGCTTACGTATTAACACGTAAGATTGGATTAACACGTGATAAGTGGAAAAATAATAATTGATAATAACTTGTTAAATAAACTATCTGGTTTAAGTATTAATAAGTAAATAAATAAATAATTGATGATAATTAGAATGAGTATCTTTATGCGAAATAAAAATGTTGTACATCGATTGCAACAAACAAGAATTGCATAGCTATTTATTCCTCTTTTGATTAATTCTAACGAGTTATAAATAATACAAACAAATTGTCAAATTCTTTTAATATTGTCACTGTGCAGTGACATTTTTGTCATAAATGCGACAAGATCAAGAATAATAATAACAAGATTAATAATAACTTTACTGTCTCGTGTTAATTTGTAAAGAATGAATGTAATAAAATGAATTTGATTTGGAGCATTTATCGTGTTCAAACAATGACAAAAGTTTCCAATAAGATGATGAAACCTTCTTCGATTTCTTATTCTATAGTGATATATATGTATATCAATAATATATCAACAATCAATATATCTGTAGAATATAAATAATCATATAAGCTCTTTAAAATTTGTATTTCCATAAAGAGCTCTGCAGCGTAATTGCGAAACGGAACGAACGAGTAAAGTTACTTTTTCTCGTTTAAAATCTTACAAATCCCCATAATTTCACGAAGTTTAAACAATCTTTTTCCACATTCGTTATTACTTGTCCTCTTACAAAGGGAAATCTCCCTCTATACCTCTCGAAAGTTCTTTACCTCTACGATATTTTGTCTCGGTTTTATTGTACTCCAGATGGAAAGCGTGCCACTTGTATCAGGGACAGATTAAAAGAGATCGTAGAATTATATTATAGAAGAATCATGATAATTTTTCGCCGCGTTGGAAACGAGACAAAATTGTAATGACTCCGCTGCGGATTTTATGCATTCACGACTTGATTTCATTCAGATGAAATTCAAAACGGTGAAATTATTATTAACGAAGGAAAATAAATGTGCTTTAAGTTCCAGCATTTTGCAATCAAAGCGGGCAACTTTTATTTCGCACGAAGATCCGCAGTCTAGTAACGAGAGAATTGTTATTCGTCGCAGCCATAACTTTCGTCCAGCTTTGCTTGCGCGCCTGGGCGCGCACAGTGACGTGGTGTAAGGAAATTCTGTCGCGTAAACGCGGATATGAAATCTAATACGACAAGGGGAACGGTTCTATTTTTCTAGCCAAACACGAGGATGAGCAGCGAGGAAGAATGTCAAATCAGGAAGAGTGTATGTGAATTTAGTGGAGTAGGCTGTTCGAGGAATCGCTCTTATCGAGGAAGCAACTACTTTTTAAGCGAAAATATAAAACGTGAGTTCTCTCTGAAAACTTTTCGTTATCTTTGTCTTTTTCTTACGTTCTTTTTTATTAATATCCGAATAAAGTATGAATTTAAAATGCAT